CGCAACGGGGAGGGAAGCTGCGGGGGGGGCGGGGGGGGTGCGTCCACCTCGCAGCCTGCTTCTTGCTGCGAGAGAGAAGAGGGATACTAAAGAGGCTTTCTTCCTCCCTTGGGTTACTACAAACAGCTCACCTAGCTCTGGGGGCTCTTTGAAGACAATAAAGAAAAGTAACTTTTCATTTTAGAAGCCCATCCTGCAGGGCAGCAGGTGTTAAGCGGGTGATAACACTCCATCTATGTATCTAAAAATATATATATACAGAAATATATATTGTACACACACATATATATCAACATATACTCAGACGAAATATAAGGAGGAAATTTTTTACAATGAGGGTGGTGATGCACTGGCACAGGCTGCCCAGAGAGGTGGTAGAAGCCCCATCCCCGGGAACATTCAAGGGCAGGTTGGACGGGGCTCTGAGCAACCTGGTACAGCTAAAGGTGTCCCTGCATATTGCAGGGGTTTGGACTAGGTGATATTTAAAGGTCCCTTCCGACCCAAACTGTTCTATGATTCTATGATATATAGCTTCTTTTTATGTTATAGGACTTGCTAGCCATAGGGAATAATATTTTCTCCTCTATTAATAGCCAGGCCAGTGTCATGCACTGCAGGGAGAAAAATCAATGTTCATCACTATAAACAAAATTGATCTTCTGTTTAAGCTAATCTTTAAGGGTTGCAAATTTAGGGTCAGGGTTAAGGTTACATGGAAAGTGAATGTTCATACTTCCAGCTGAGGGAAATACATCCTCTTCCTATGCACTTTTGACGCACAATAACCAAAATAGTAACCTGGGGGGATATGAGTGCGGGTTTAAAGACTACACTGTGCACTTGCATATATGCAGGCAGGTGAGATATTGCTAACAACATCTTAGCACTTCCCATTGATGTGACGAGGAATTGCAAGCGCATAAGGAGTTTGCTTCAATGTTTCGAAAGAGTAGACCAGAGGTTCAGCTGATGCAAATGGATGGTGAATCAATTACACTAACGTGGCTCTGCGGATTTGTCTAAAATGAAGATGTAAAATAGCTGTGCAAATTATTGAAAAATCTCTCTCTTTTTCTATCACATATATGTTCATGATGCACCTGTATGATGTGTATATATGTGATACATGTTTATAGAGAGGAAGAGACAGGGTCTTTATTTATTGTTGTCTCAGATACGTTTCATTAAGGAAATGGAGTGGAGTCTTTTTATGATAAATACTATATTCATTTGAACATCATTTAATACAGGGCCCATGTGCCCTGCCTCTAAAATGTATGAACCAAAATTATATCGTGGTCTTTGCTAACCTGAATATCAGGTTCTGTTTTCATCCTGAATAAATGTTACTTAATGGTACTGAATGCACTTCCTTGCATTTTTTTTTTTAACTATACACTCAGAAATAAAGTTAAGCATTTGTTTCAGCTAAGCACTTTGCTGAATGGGGTCAGTAAGCTATAGCCCATTGTCTTTAAACTACCGAAAACATTGTACTTCAATTGCAGTCATTTTGTTGTATAATCAAAAATAGTTGATTGTCCATGTTTCATTCACTGGTCTGCAAATAATCATTTCAGAACACCCAGACAATATGAATCGAAGGAAATTACTGCTGAAAATCACACTTTAAGTCACAGTTTAGAAACTGAATAATTAGGCTGTCCACACCGCTATTACATATATGTAATATATACAGCTATATGCTGGTGTTACTGTACAGTAGGAAGGGATAAAAAGAGAGAAGGAGGGAGGGAGGAAGGACGGAAGGACGGAAGGACGGAAGGACGGAAGGACGGAAGGACGGAAGGAAGGACGGAAGGAAGGACGGAAGGAAGGACGGAAGGAAGGACGGAAGGAAGGAAGGAAGGACGGAAGGAAGGACGGAAGGACGGAAGGAAGGACGGAAGGAAGGAAGGACGGAAGGAAGGAAGGAAGGACGGACGGAAGGAAGGAAGGAAGGAAGGAAGGAAGGAAGGAAGGAAGGAAGGAAGGAAGGAAGGAAGGAAGGAAGGAAGGAAGGAAGGAAGGAAGGAAAAGGAAAGGGAAAGGGAAAGGGAAAGGGAAAGGGAAAGGGAAAGGGAAAGGGAAAGGGAAAGGGAAAGGGAAAGGGAAAGGGAAAGGGAAAGGGAAAGGGAAAGGGAAAGGGAAAGGGAAAGGGAAAGGGAAAGGGAAAGGGAAAGGGAAAGGGAAAGGGAAAGGGAAAGGGAAAGGGAAAGGGAAAGGGAAAGGGAAAGGGAAAGGGAAAGGGAAAGGGAAAGGGAAAGGGAAAGGGAAAGGGAAAGGGAAAGGGAAAGGGAAAGGGAAAGGGAAAGGGAAAGGGAAAGGGAAAGGGAAAGGGAAAGGGAAAGGGAAAGGGAAAGGGAAAGGGAAAGGGAAAGGGAAAGGGAAAGGGAAAGGGAAAGGGAAAGGGAAAGGGAAAGGGAAAGGGAAAGGTTTTTTTCTCATGGTTCTCAAAAGTATAATGAATGCTTTTACAGCTTGCAGACTATGGAACTAACATTTTAAACTACTTCTTAAAGACATTTTCTAGGTGAACACTATTACATTCTTACTATCCCTCTTCTTCTTGTATTTGAGGCACAATACAAATCCAAATACTTGTTTAGGACATTTTACACAGCTCTTTGAATTCCAGAGAAAGAATTCCATTGACTTCAGCTGATCTTTGGATGCAAGAGAGCACTAGTTTTTTACTGCCTGACCCCTCCATCTTCACCAACGCGCTCAGGCCCATGGAGGTCAAAGAGACAACTGGCTTATACAGGGATTACTGACATGAGTCGTGGATGCAGAATGGAGCTCACAGTGAGCTCTATCAGCACATTCATTATCAACCCTCTAGTAGCTGTTGTCAGGTTATGAATGATGTCTTCTCTATCAGAGATAACATTCCAGAATCAGATCCTGCAGATAAGATCTTATTTCTGGAAATAAATAATTAAAAAAACAAAATCTTCTTCTGCCAAATGAATTTTAATGCCCAATTTTAAAGTAATAAAAATCCCAAAATCTCTTGATTTTATGCATGAGCTATTATGATCAATTGGGAAATTAAAATATGTTTTTAAAGCATAAATACCTATTCCCTCGGTGGAATCTTATGTCTCTGAAGTAGCTGGCTTCAGTTTTGGGGATACATCTTATGCATTTTAATAGCAAATGCCTGAATACTGAACCAATAAAAAATATTCGCACCTACCCAGGATTCTTGGGTCAATACAAGTCCCATTTTCAAATATGTTAACAAATATATGTGTTCAGTGAAAATTATATATTACTTAACCTAAATACAGATTTATTTGAGCTATTCAGAGCAATTCTAGGCTCTTGAGGAAAGAATCTCTTTAAAATATTAATATTATTACACCTAATTTTAAAGTGTTAAGGCTACAAATTAAGGGTAAGACATAAAAAAATCCATGAAAATGTATATCCATGCAGACACGCAGGTGAGGAAAAAATGGAAGAAGTCATCAATATGTGACTCATGAACTGAGGACAAAGATGTCAGCTTACCTTTGAATTTACTCTTTTAAGTTTGTGACACAACCTTAATGCTATTTAAACATGTAATAGAGCACAGTGTTTAATTAGGTAAGGAAACTTGCTCACTGTTACTGGCAGTGCATAAGTATATGAGCACAGTGGAGTACACTCAATAATCCAAAGAACCTGACACTGTATTATTTATTGGAATGTCTGCATTAATTATGAATGATTCTAATATAAGGTACATCTTTAATACATCACAGTCTACAGATGTTTTCATTCTCTACTACCAGAGAGAAGTTTAATGATAAGATTTTGTCTCATATATTGAAAGGCATACAGAAAATGATATGGATAATGTCATCTTAGCCAGTTCATGATCAGGAGAATTTCTAAAGTCCTAGTTTGGCTGATTACACGTGGAGAGTTTGGTTTAAAATTACCCTGTGGGCTAAGACTGGCAAGAGAAAAAAAAAATAGGAAAACCTTTTAATTAGATGCACAAGTTAACTGTAAGATTTCTCGTTTCATCACCAGCGTTTTCTCCTGCAGCAGCAAAATTTAAGGTTGTGATGACAGTTCCCACTGAACTTTGATGGCCTGATACACAATCCCTGTCACATATGTATTTTTCCTGTTGCTTTGGTTGAGTATGGATACTATGCTGCGTCAATGAGCAGGAATATCCCATCCAGTTTCCTACAGTGCTTTCTATAGAAGTAGGCTTCAGAACTTTTCTTTGATAGCTAGTTTTTAAAAAGTCAGTGAAAGTGTCATACAAACATTTTGAAATCAGATTATTTTAAGGAAAGTGTGGACTTCACAGTTTACAGACCCAAGTGTAAATATCAGAGAGTAGTTCTCCTAACTCTAAATTTTTCCACTGTTCCATTCTGGTGCTGAGGAATGTCCCTGCTGAAACCTGTAAGCTTTTCAACAAATTATTAGGTCTAGGAGGACTAGCTATCACAAGAAACAGAGCAGGAATTTGAACCAGGATCCCTGTTAACTTTCAAATCACATTTTGAGGCTTTTTACCATCATGTGGTTTTCCAGAACCAGGTTTCATTCTGCTCTACTGCTAAATTGCTAACCTCATCCCATTTCATGAATAGAGATGGTTGTGTCTGTTTCCTTTTAACAGTGTCCCAGTGTGGCATTAATAGTGGAAATAACTTAGAGCAGCAATACTGCTAGAGAAATCCTAGGTGAAGCAGTTAGAAAGTATGGTCAGAGCAAGAAAATACGTGATCATAATTTGAAAACACACTGTTTGAGGGCGCAAACCATTGCAGAGACATCTGTGACTGCTTCCTTTCCCAAAATTTAAAAACATCGATCACTTATAAGCAAAGAGGAATTGAATGGCTACTGATGTGAAGGAAGGCAAGGCTCTCACACAGAAGAATAATTAGAGCCTAGTTAAGTCTGTGATTATAACAAACATCCCCTTTCAGAACAGCAAAACAGACAGAATATGAGAAATTTGACATTAGATCTTTAGATAGAAATGAAAAAGAAAGAGATTATTAAAGGATTCTCCAAAATTATCAGGATTCTGTTGCCCACAGCAGTAAATACCTTCAGATAGCCGCAGAATCAGAAAATTATTTAAGGGTAAAAAAGGTGACCTACATGAGTGAGATAGATCAGGTAAAGAGAAAAGAGGTCTGGGAGGATTACCTAATGAAGGGAAATGTAAGATATGTGAGAGGAGCCAAGTTGAGGAATGAAAAAATAGCACAAGAGAGTAAGATAGATAAAGTAATAGGACATTCTTCAAGTACAGAAGAGGTCAATGGAAAATAAAAACAGCCTCTAAAAGATGACAGAAGCAACTGACAGAAGAAGATTTTGCTTTCTAGAGAAAGCTGGAAAGAGGGAGGGAGGTTTTTCATTGTCTCGGTGTTTGCAGAACTGGAGAGAGGACAGCTGCCACAGACAGTCGTCATGTTACCCCCCTAAGGGATGTGGTAGAGATGCTGAAAGAAATTAGGAAAATGGCAGTAAAAAGCACTGGCTAAACTGCAGTGTTGTGTGAAGATTGAAAGGGGGGAAATCCCAAAAGGGGAAGAGTGGAAGCAGCCTGTTCTTCTTGATGCAGGTGCCTAAAGGAGACAGAAAAGGCGGGCAGACAGCTTGAAAACACAACAGTGGTGATAAAACAAATGCCTTAAAGCAGGAGCGTGTGAAAGACCGAGACACACCAGAGGCTGTTGTCAATGAGGACCAGGTGGAGAGGCATCCATGGAGCAGGTACAGCCCTAGGAGCCATGTAAGAAGGGGCCCTAGGCAGCTTCTCCAGTAGGATCTCCACATCTCTACAAACCTAAGCCAAGGGAAGCTGCTTTCTTAGGGTCTGGCTGGAGCGCAAAGACAGATGGCATGGGGCACTCAGCAGCTCAGGGAGCTGTGGGGAAAGAGTCAGGAGAGGGAGAAACGAGATGGCTGCAAGATCCATTGAGTGGAGAGGATAAACATGAGGAGCAGCTCCATGTAAGAAGTAAACCTGTGGTCATGGGACAGGGTGCTTGAGGGAGAAAGCAAGGAAGTCACATCACCAAGACTCTTATCACAAGAAATAACAGGGCAGGGACAGGGACTGCCCCATTTGGCCAGCAATAGGCAGCAGCCAGCAGCAAAGAAAGGCTAAGAAAGATGAGAACAGGGGAAGGTGAACCAGGGAAAGGAGGGGAAGAACATATATCATTGACAGGCAGTCAGTGGATCACCTTTACAAAATGCCTGGAAAGTCATGTTGCAATGCAGTGGTCGCAAACTCTGCCCTCCTGATCCTTGCACAGACTGGTATGAATGGCATTCACTCCAGGTGAGCATCAGTCTGATTTTTTTGCAAGGCAGTATTGATCAATACTGACATCTTTGAAGCCATCTCACCTCTCCCTTGTGCATCTACTCTGAGTGATGCCAGGCACCTGGGTTGAAATAAAGCTGCCCTTCAGTCTTCCTGAAAGCCTCAGCAAGCAGGAAGGCTTGCTGCCATCAAAGAAATGACTGGAGACACCAGTTATCCCCTTTAATTTTCAACTAATATATTCACAGCATTTTAATTGCTTGCAAATGCATTTTCTCTGTCCCATTATGTTGCCTTTCGGCTGTTGCGGTGAGGCAGAATACAAATTTGAAAGGAGGAGGAAACATGGTGGTGGGCATGGGAGAGGTTAGCTATGTTCAGAAGCAAGGGGAATGGGCAGGTTTTTGCAGGACATGTCTGGTCTTGCAGCTTGAAGAAACCCCTCCAAAGCTTCCCACACTCACCACCCACAGTTACAGCCTGTGAACTCCAGTATCAAACCTTCCTCTCTCCTTTTTCCCTCCTTGGAAGAGAAAAAGCAATATAATGTAACTTGCACTCTCAATAGAATGATTCTTAAAGGGAAACAAGAGGAAAAAAACACCAGAATGTGTCACTATGGTCTCTTTTTGTTTCCCCCTGAGAGTGTATAGGGTTTATTCATTTACCAGACAGGGGTTGTCTCTTTCTGTTTGGATGAATGGTAGGCACACAGACAGGTTTGCCTGAAAATGAAGGTGGGTAGTCTGCGTGTGCATGTGTGAGGGAGCTACCAGCTCCCTCCCTCCAACCCACAGAGGTCTGGACCTCTCCCAGGGTTCTCCCTGCATGCGAAGTTCAGGGAAGGGAGATAGGGTGGTGATGCTCAGCACAGAGGGGGCCCATGTTCAGATTCACCCCCTCTGCCAGACAGGAGGAAGCAATA